GAAACCCTGTAAGGGTCACTATGAGTCAGAACTGACTCCACGGCCCATAACCACCACCATGAAGTTATATAAAAATAAAACGACTGTGTCTGGGCTATTATCATGGCTGTACATTTGTGCTTAAATATAGAGAAACACTAGAAAGGAAGAGGGACATGAAAACAGTTGACTTTTAAGGTAGAGAGTTGTAAGTGGTTTTTAAAGGACGCTATTTTTTGTATGATGAGTGCATTTTTATGGGAGAACCAGCCCAACAGGGGCCCCATTACCTCTCTGATTCCTGGACCAGATCCAGGTTCTTCATGTCACTGGTGGGTTCCCTGACCATTATATTTGTTTCCCAGCGTTGATCTCCTGATTCAAAAAGGAAGAGCTTGCCCGTATCATTGCCAACGACAATCTTTTCTTCGGACAGCCAGGCATGGGACAGATAGTTCTGAGGCTCTCCTCTCTGAAAATTGGTTTGCTTCAGGGTTCCCTCAGCAAACCGGAGCAGCTTAAAAATTCCATTTCCAGTGACACAAACCTGAGTGTTATCCTGGGGATTGAAGCTCACCTGTACAAAGTGAGAGGGGAAAAAAGAAAAAAGATTCATAAAACTAATCTTGATTGCATTATTTCCCATTTGACTAATATTTATTTCAGGTAGCTCAGAGTATCATTTAAACATCACTAAATGAAGTCAATTTGATTTCGTATTTGCTAAATGCCCAGATATAAATCTCCTATTTGCTAAACTCACAGATATAAATTATATTTGCAGGGCTCATGAATCTTCAACTAAGATACCTACAACAGTTTCCTTACAAAGGCCAAAAAGCAGGATGAGCAAGTGTGGACAACAGTCAAACTCAGTGAAAATAAAATGCAAGGATAAAAGGGAGACACAGAACCTAGGGGCCACTGAGCTTCTGTTAAGGATGATGGAAAAACTGGGGGATAGTTAGTCATGATGGTTAAACCTGATGAATATATTTAATGTCACTGTAATGATTAGTTAATCAGCAGAGTTTTGTTACCTCTACTATTTACCACAATAATAAATTTATAAACACATATGAGTTTATATAAAAGGAATCAAATGAACAACAACAAAAATACACTAAAGACTCAGCTGGGAGTTCAGGAAAATGAAGGCCTCGAAGGTTTAGGTAGCTCTGTCCCTGGAGAAGGAAACCGTATGTCAGGGGGTGCTATGTGGCTTCCTACCTACTGAGCTTCCTTCAATCTCAGCACTTAACCCAAAGTGTAGTAATGTGCAGGCAGTTTGTTGTCCTCACCAAGAGATTTGTTGTTGTTTTTAAGTGCTGTCAGTCGGTTCCGACCCATAGCGACCCTGTAAAGGGTTTCTGAAGAGCAGCCGGTGAACTTGAACCACCAACCCTGTGGTTCAAACTGACTTTGCAGTCCAGCGCATTAACCCACGGCACCACACCAGGACTCCAAGTGGTGAGTTACTCGGAAATTGGAGTGGCAGCTTTTTTATAACCTCTGTATTCGCAGTGCTAGGCTCATAGTACACAGCCAAAAACTTCACTGACTCTACTTGAGTCTTCTACTCTGAGTAGAGATGCTGAATCTGGCCTCACCAGAAATAACCTGGATATACCTGCCTTTTTTAAAACCTGCATTTTGTCTGATTCTGTGATCATCAAGCAACCTTCTCAATATTAATTTCACCTTTCCAGTTCTCTGTTTCCAGGGAGGGAGTACACTGGGCAAATGATATGCATGTTCTAGTTGTGATGTACTGGTTTATACATCAGCCTTTTGTGAGTTAAAGAATTGAGTCTATGCCCGAGAGACTAATTAGCTAGAATTCCTGAAAATGAACACACTGAGTTCTTAAACTTCAAAACAAAACCAGATTATTAGGTCATATCCTGGGGTGGTTGCATTAAGATAAAACCTTAGAACTCCTGAGTTGTCAGGCAGCTTCCTCGTAGGACTTCTTCATTTTACCCTTAAATCACAATAGCAATTTCTGCTTCCCATGTCACTGCTTTCTAATCACCTTCCTAAAGGTCTGTTATTTCACATTATATTCCTGACATCTTCCAACTTTCTCATGTGTAAAAAGTACAACTTACCTTATACGGTTGTTGTGAGACAAAATTTAAAAATACATGTGAAATGTCAGTACACCTCTTGAGACAGCGAAAGCATTCAATAAAAGATAGCTCTTAGTATTCTTTTTAATTTGCATGATACTTGGTATACTAGGAGATACCTGGTAGATAGCATTGTTCTGAGTGTCGATTCTAACAATGGCCATTACTTTCTGTTTCTCCCACAGCCAATAGACAAGGTTTGACTCTGGAGTTGATGTCTGAGTCAATAGGTACTTGGAGTCTGGAGAAAAAGCCATGCTAACAAACTTCTGAACTGGAAAGTCAAAATTATTAAGGATTTTGCGTTTCCGGCAAGGGATGGATGACAGTTCGTAAATGGTGATAACAGGTTTTTCTTGCACGGTCTCGGAGATGGCGAGGTATCGCCGATTGGGGCTGATGGCCAAGGCCAACATGCCCTGACTCTTTTCTGAGCCTGCAAACAGAAGAAAAAGCGGATGAGGGAGGTCCTGGAGAAAGACGCTGGCTGTCCTGTGGTTCGTCTTATGAAAATGAGTATGAGGAGGCACATGGGGGAGGAGCAGTGAGGGACTGATTCTTAAAGGAGGATGATGAGGAGACACTACCTAGGCTGGGCGTGGGAGGCAGTAGCAGGAGGGGCCTGAGCACAGGTGTGGGTGTGAGAACCAGCTGGGCATGGTGGGAGAATGGGAGAACTGCCAACAGTAAGCTGGAGGACAGCATGTGATCAGAGGTGACAGGAGATGGCTCAGGAGAAGGGAATGGGACCAGACCACAGAGATCTTTATGCCTGAGTGGCCAGAACTCAACTCTTCCTCTATTCCAGAAGCTAGGATGCTAACTACTGAAGTCTTCAGCCTCCCTCCCAGTGAGGTTGTCCATCTGACATTCTGGCTGTGGGATGGATGCAAGAGTTTCTGGAATGGCTTTATAGTAAAAATGTACTTTCCAGAACACTAGGTGAGATGTTGTCTACCCTCCTTTTCTTGGGATACCGAGGTGATGCCTGGTGATTCAACAGGTGACAGGTGTGAGAATAAAAGCTGTGGCTATCCTTGGAAACCCTGTACAGGGTCGCTATGGGTCGGAGCCGACTTGATGGCACTTAACAACAACAATATAGAAAGCAGAGCCCGGAGTAAAGTTAAAAGTACAAATACTTTGAGAAATGGCTTGCATTATGATTGTGCGGGCTACAGGCATTTTTGCTTTCACGGACTTAATAAAATAGAAAACTTTCATGACTGCATTGATATAAACAGGAATTTAAGCCAGGTTTATTTCTTTATTATATCTTTGTGATGATTATATTCATTTTTCTAATTTAATAATAAAGTGAAAATGTTTTCTTGGGCCCTAGGCACTGTGCCTCTGTGCTTAGTGGATAAGTCAGCCCAGGACACAAACCCAGGGCAGGGAGGGTGAGTGAGACACAGGACACCATAAGGATGATGGGACACTGAGCTACTGCCCCACAACAAGCTTCAGAAAGACACAGTGAGTCACGGATGCCCAGCACACGGGAATGCTCTGGCATGGCTGTGGAAGTTCAGCCCAGGAGAAGAACCCAGGTTCTGGGTCACCAAGGGCCATACACCAGAGTTTGGATTTCATAGGGAGGCAAAAGGGAAGACAATGAAGATTTTAAGATGAGTCAAATGTGTTTTCGAAAGATCCTGCTGGTAGCTGTGTGGAAGAGAGTCCTGGAGGTATTTTTAAAAAGTCAGCGATGTTGGGCAGTAAGAAATGTGCAGGTGAAGCAGAGACGGAGGGACACGCTGAGTGGTAGAATCATTGGCCTTCATGACTGCCTGGCTGAGGGAGTGTGGAAATGAGAAGGCCCAGGAATGACATCTCAGCTTCTGGTGTAGGGCTACCCTAAAATAACCTATCCAAAGATCTCATATGCATCTCATTCACTTCTAGTTTTATTGTAATTTGATTTTTTTTACACATAAAAGTCTTTAAGTCATCCTAGGCTCTGGTGTGGAGTTCCGGTGTAGTGCTGTGGGTTAATGCACTGGACTGCAAAGTTGGCCTGAACTGCAAGGTTGGCGGTTCAAGTTCACCAGCCGCTCCCTGGAAACCATAAACAGGGTAGCGATGGGTTGGAACTGACTCAAAGCACTTAACAACAACAATAACAGGCTCTGGTGTGGCACTGTGAGACAAGTACTGCGCTGTTAACTGGCAAGGTCAGTGGTTCAGACCCACCAGCTGTTCTTCATAAACCCTACATAGGGTCGTTAAAAGTCAGAACTGACTCCACGGCACACAATAACAACAACAACAACAACAACAGGGGCCCCTTATTCAAATGATTTGTTGTTAAGTGCCACTGAGGTGATTTCAACTCAGCAACCCTGGTTAGGGTTTCTGAGGAGCAGAACCGCTGACCTTGTGGTTAGAAGTCCAGTGCTTACCTACAGTGACACACCAGGGACTACGCAAATGAGTAGACAAATGCTGCCATCGACTAGTTACATACGATTAAATCAAGTGGCCTTAGGTAGAGTAGCTAATCTTCCATAATACAATGCAATGTAATAAAGTCAGTCAACTGAGGTCATACCAGCATGAGGTGGAAGCTAAACCTAGTCACCTGTGAGTTATAAAAACAATGGACAAGACATAAGACATAAAGCCATACACAAAGGGGAAGATAGATGACATGTGGGGATCGACTACAAGTAAAGGAATGCCAAGGCTCTCCAGCAGACACCAAACTAGGAGAAAGGCTTATGGAAGGAATCAATACAGCTGAGAGCCTGATTCAGACTTTAGCCTCCAGAACGGTAAGAAAATACATTTCTGTTCTTTAAAACCACTGACTTGTGGTATTTCTGTTACAGAAATACTCAGTAACTAAGATTCTCCTCATTGAAACAGAGATTTCATCCTATCATTTTGGCTACTCCTTCAAAGGCCCTTAACACCACCACCACATTAAGTATCTTGGTAACTGAGTTGTTATTGTTGTTGTTAAGTGCCATCGAGTCGGTTCCGACCCATAGCGACCCTGTACAGGGTTTCCGAGGGTGTAAATCTTTACGGGAGTAGAAAGCCTCATCTTTCTCCCGCGGAGCGGCTGGTAGTTTCGAACCGCTGACCTTAAGGTTCGCAGCCTGATTCGTAACCACTACGCTACCAGAGCTTTTGTTATTCTCTTTGCTATGCCCCTGCCCTCTTGCTCTGACCCTATCAGCATCACAAATGCTTTCACTTTTTTCTGTCTCTATCAAAACATCACTCAATGTATATTTAAACAAATAAGGCATGTGTGTTAAACGTTTTTGTGCCAGCTGTGCCCTCCCTACTGTTTTCTAAGTGCATTATACTATGTTTTTTACATGTGCCATGGAGTCGGTTCTGACGCATAGCGACCCTATACATGGTTTCCAAGACTGTAAACCTTTAAGGGAGCAGAAAGCCTCATCTTTCTCCCACGGAACAGCTGGTAGTTTTGAAATGCTGACCTTGAGGTTAGCAGCCCAATTTGTAACCACTACGCTACCAGAGAATAGGTATATGAAATTTAAAATAGAACTGGAATTTTAAAACCTAAGTCGCTGGAGGATATCATGTTTAGTAAGGTGGATGGTCAGAGACAAAGAGGAAGACCCCCAACGAGATGGATTGGCCAAGTGGCAACATCGATGGACTCAAGTGTGGCAACATAGTGAGGTTGGCCCAGGATCAGGCAGTGTTTCGTTCTGCTGTGCATAAGGTCGCTATGAGTCGGTACCAACTCGATGGCACCTAACAACAATAACAACAACAACATCTGTAAAGAGAATGAACTAAAAGATAAATATAAAGAAATTATGCAGCATGCAACACAGAGAAACTAAGAAATGGAAAATACAAATGCAATCTTAGAGACACAGAGGGTGGAACTGAGATGGTCTGCATTTTGAGAAGGGGTGGATAGAAAGAATGAAAAAAATACTATAGTCAGAGAGAAGTGGATGGCTTGTTTACAGAGAGGAGAGGCTGAGCACGGACGGCGAGAGATGGAGACTGATTGGTGACTGGCAGGCCAGAAGTGGCATGATCATCTGTAAGCAGCTTTGGCAACTCACAAGGGTGACTTGGTAGGGGTAGCCTGGCAGAGTAGATTCACACAGGCGACAGGAAAGGTGTGATTCCTTCTTGTTTCCACATTTCCCTGGTGACCAGTGGTGTAGCAGCTCCACCTTATCCACCCCCAGCTCAGACCCTGCTCAGAGAAAGTTCAGAGCCATGTGGTTGGAAGGCAAGCTAGTGTGAGGCAGGGGCAGGCTGCACTGTGTTGGTGCCTGGATTCAGGTGGGTTTAGCTCCAGACCTAGAGAACACGCAGAGTCACCAGACCAGTATTTAACCAGTCACCCTGCCCCCAGCTGCCCTGGTCCTAACAGACACTGAAACCAACTCCATTAAGGGTCTCTACAGGCTCCTTCCAGATACACTGAGGCCGACAGGAACTCCAACAAGGGCCAGGAACTCTGCATCACATCCTGCACATCCTTCCCACACCCACCTTGTGAGCTCCTTGGCTTACAGAAGGCCCCCAGAAATTTCTCCTCGATGGGTCCAATAGTTGCACTGTTTTTTTGTTTCTGTTTTGGGGTTTGGTTTTGTTCCTTTTGTTGTTTCATTGTTTTTGTTTATTCTATCTCCTTGAGTTTTAGCCTTTCTAGCTCTGCTTGTTTTTCCTTATTTTCTTCTGTTTCTAATTTCCCAATTTCTTCTTCTTTTTCCTCCCTTTTCATCTTTCTTCACTCTACTCTACTCTCTTTCTCTTTTCATCTATCCTCTCCCTGCTTTTTCTGTGTTTTGGTTTTGCTTTTTAATTTATTCCTTTTATTTCCTCTCTTATTTTTCTCTTCTCGAACTCCATTTCTCTCCCTATTTTGTCTTTGGAGTTGTATATATATATATATTTAAGGTTACTGCCTGCTTTTGCTCCTTTTGTTCTTTTTTTCTCTTGATCATTATTTCTTTTCATTGTTGATTTCTTGCTTGTTTATACTGTTTTGTTTTCTTGTGTGTGTCAGGGGAGGGTTTTCTGTTTCCACCTAACAGGAGGCAGCAACCCTGCCCACACAGTTCCATCATAACTGTACCCTCTGCAGCTCCAATACCACTAAGTAAGAGCCAATACCAGCTTCTAGACCACCTGATCAATGCTAGACAGCAGCCAACACCAGTCAAACCCACCCTAAACTCAGGTGCGTGAATGGCGAACAAGAACAGTGTACATGCTTCCATTCTCCAACTACATCCACAGGTGAGACAGTTGGTGAGAGCCTAAGAACACAGCAACAAAAATCATCAATTAAATACAAATACAACAATCCCACAATGCCCCAGAGAGAAGAGACAATTTTAGCTTGCACAAAGAAACTAGAGAGAATGACTCAAACAAATGACCGAGATGCAGAGCCAGAAAACACTTCTGAGGAAAACGGAAAAAGAATCCAAAAGAATGATATTCAGTTATCTTCAAAGGACTGACAAAAAGAAGAAAGCAAGGAGAACACAGAAAAAAACTTTTGAAGAAGTCAGGAAAACACTGCAAGAACAAACAGACAAAATAAATGCAAATTTTGAAACAATACAAAACCTGCAATTAGAAAATTACCACTAAGATGTATTGTAAGGGCAAAGGAGCAGATTCGAAGCAATGGAAGCCCAAATTAGTGAGCTTTAAGATACATCTCTCAATACTAGTATGCTAGAAGAACAATCAAAAAAAGAGAGAGAAAAACATCTGAAGAAAACCTAAGAACTATGTGGGACACCATGAAGAAGAACAACTTACAGGTGGTTGGAATTCCAGAACAGGAAGAGATAATAAAAAGCACAGAGAAAATTGGTGAAGAGTTGTTGAAAGAAAACTTACCTAACATGAAAGATAAGAGGCTAAGCACAAAGAAGCTGAATGAACCCCAAACAGAACAGATCACAAAATAAAATCACCAGGATATATCATAATCGAAATTCCCAAAACCAAAGACAAGGAAAGAATCTTGAAGGCAGGTTGGGAAAAAGTGTCAATTAACCACTAAGACTAAGCTCTGACTTCTCAGCAGAAACCAAGCAGGCAAGATGGCAAACGGATGACATACAAAACACTGAAAGAAAAAAAATTGCCAACCAAGAATTATATATGCAGCAATGCTTTCCGTCTGAAATTAGGATGTTTCAAAGACAAATAAAAAAAATTTGTAATGACCAGACCGATTTTACAAAAAATGCTAAATGTGTTCTTTGGATTGAGAACCAAAACAGCAGACAACAATCTGAGATTATCATATATAACAACACCACCCAGAATACAATTCAAATAACGAAGTATTTAAAGAAAACAAACTCACAAGACTGAAACTACGGAACCAGAGCCATTAATTTAAAATGAAGTCAACTACAAAGGAAAAAGAGAAAACAGTGTAGATACAGATCTTCCAAAAGGCAAGGAAGTCAAGAGATTTCAAGATAAAACAAACTGCTTTAAATAAGAAAAAAAAAAAAAGGGCAACATCAGAAAAAGTTAACACACTTTCACATCAAAATTTTAAAAAGAGGATGATCAGAAAGATTTAATAAACATTAAAACAACAGAAATGAAAATGAAAAGAAAGCCTACAAACAAAATTAACTCAGCATAGAAAATTATGTGGAACAAAGAAATCAGCAGCACCACACACATACACACACAGAGCAAAATTATATTTAGTGAATAACTTTTCAACAACATTGTAAAGTATAACTATTCCTGCACACTTACTTGTGTTTATGAGGAATCTGTACATGGACTAAGAGGCAGTTGTTCGAACAGAACATGGGAACACTGAATGGTTTAAAATTAAGAAAGCTGTGCGACAGGGTTGTATTCTTTCACCATACTTATCTGAGAAGCTGGATTATATGAAGAAAAACGCAGCATCAGGATTGGAGGAAGACTCATTAACAACCTGTAATACGCAGATGATACAACCTTGTTTGCTGAAAGTGAAGAAGACTTAAAATATTTACTGATGAAGAGCAAAGCACACAGCCTTCGGTATGGATTACATCTCAATGTAAAGAAAACAAAAATCTTCACCACTGGACCAATAAACAACATTCTTATCAATGGATCAACTATCAATACTCACGGAAGCAGCAATCAAGAAACCATACGATGTATTGCCTTAGGCAAATCTGCTGCACAATACCTTTTTAAAGTGTTGAAGAGCAAAGATGTCAGTTTAAAGACTAAGGTGCACCTGACCCAAGCCATGGTATTTTCAATAACTTCATATGCATGTGAAAGCTGGACAGTGAATAAGGAAGACCGGAAGACCGTAGAAGAATTGATGCTTTTGAATTACGGTGTGGAGGAGAATATTGAAAGTGCCATGGGCTGTCAAAAGAACCAACAGATCTGTGTTGGAAGAAGTGCAGCCAGAGTGCTCCTTGGAGGCCAAGATGGCCAAACTTCATTTCTCATACTTTGGACATATTGCCAGGAAGGACCAGTCACTGGAGAAGGATATCATGTTTGGTAGAGTGGAGGGTCAAAGAAAAAGAGGAAGACCCCCAGTGAGATGGATTGGCAAAATGGCAGCATCAGTGGGCTCAAGCATGGCAACGATAGTGAGGTTGGCCCAGGATTGGGCAGTGTTTCGTTCTGCTGTTCATACGGTTGCTGAGTCGGTACTGACTCAATGGCACCTAATAACAACAACAACAACAATTACACTGATTGTAAATGGATTAAATGTCAAGAGATGGAGTTCAGAATGGGTAAGAAAGCAGGATCCTTCAATATGCTGTTTATAAGAGACACAAAAGATGGCAACAGCTTAAATCTCCATCAACAGAAGACTGGTTAAACAAACTTTGGTACATATACACCAGGGGTGGGGAACATCTGGTCCACAGGCTGTATAAGGCCCTCAAGATCATTTGGTCTAGCCCTGCCAAGGCAATCACAGTTCTAGCCACCAAATATAGCAGGCTAATTTTCAAACCGATAATTTTGTATGTGTCATCAATGATGCTTCAAGATTTGGCAGAAAAAAGTTTCCCCATCCCTGATATACACAATGGAATACTATGCAATGTGAAAGAATAATGATGAATCTGCAAAACACTTCATAACATGGATGAACCTGGAGGACATGATGCTGAATGAAATTAGTCAATCATAAAAAGGCAAATATTGTATGACACCAATGTTGTAAAAGTTAAAAAAAAGGTTTTCTTGGGGGAAAAAAAGATAACTATAACCAAAATGACAACTGATAAAAATTTTGTAGAATCATTCAAAGATACCTATTCTCCAATTCAAGAATTTGTAACAAAATTTAAAAAAAACAACAAAAAGAAGACGTAAGATCTTAAAAACATACAGAAAAAAACACCTACAGAAAGAAGACCCTGATGGCTAATTTCTGAAGACATCAACAAAACTGAAGCCAAAGAACAATGGAGTAAGATTCAGAATGTACTGGCAAAAATTCTATCCCAAGCAAAGCTGTCTTTCAAGAAACATGATGAAACATAAGCATTTTCAGACAAAAACTGAGAGTTATCAGTTATCAGATTACCCCTAAATGAAAGGATAATGTCTGCACTTCAGGTAGGAGGAAAATGACCCTATCTGGAGGGAGTAATGTGATTTGTAAAAGAGAACGGTGGACAAAGAGATTAGTAAATATTCCAGCTAATATAAACAAATGTTGCCTGTATATTTGGTTTAATGTTAAAAACTCCCATGATCATATATAAAATACAGAAATGTGTTCGATAAAATTTAATATCTGGTAATGTTCCATTTCCTATTTTGGGTGACGGGTACACAGCTCTTCATTTTATTATACTTTGAACAGCCACTCCTTGGAAACCCTACACAGGGCCACTATGAGTCAGAACTGACTCCACAGTACTTGACAACAATGTATATGTAGAGTAACTCTTTTGTAGACATATGTCACTATATGCATATATATTTAATAGGGGAAGTAATATGATTTAGTTGTGGAAATCGTGAATATTATCTATAGGACCAATATGAACAAAGACAAATGCTATAAAATTATACAAATGGTTCCTGGTGACTTGGGATAAAAATCTCCAAAACCAAAACCAAATCCCCTACTGCTGAATAATTCTGACTCATAGCAACTCTGTATGACAGCAGAATTGCTCCTTTGGGTTTCCAAGATAAAATCTTTATGGGAGCAGAAAACCTAATTTTTTCTCCTGAGGAGTGGCTGGTGGGCTTGAACCTACAACTTGAGGTTAAACCTACAACTTGGCTTTAACAGCCTGATGTTTAACTCACTATGCCACCAGGGCTCCTTTCATAAAACATGGTTTCAAGAGAAGCTGTGTTTGAAATAATTTAGAGAAATCTGTTGTTGTGTGTCATCCAGTTGATTCTGACTTACGGTGACCCTACAGGACCAAGTAGACTGCCCTGTCTAAGGGTTTCCTAAGGCTGCAATCTGTACAGAGTGATGTTGAAGATGCAAGAAAAGAAAAGCTTTAAAATAACTTTTTCATTAAAGTAAAAAAGTACTTTATTAATATTATTTTATGTGTGACATTAACTACATATGTGTGATTGCAACCCAGGTGATCCAGTGGTTACATGTTTGGCTGTTTACAAAAGGTTGGCTGTTGTAACCGACCAGCTGCTCCACAGGAGAGACACATGGCAGTCAGTTTACCCAGTCTGTAAAGAAAACCCTTTGAGGCAGTTCTGCTTTGTCCTACAGGGTCCCTACGCATTAAAATCAACTATATGGAACTGGGCTATGTGTGATTAATCTATATGATAGATACTGATGGACACTTATTTCCTATATGTTTCTCAAAAAGAAATCCAAATTGACCAAAAAACATCCTTCACAATCTTTGCATTGCAATTATACTCAGCATACACAATTAATTTATGTGTCAGGATGGAAAGGGGTTTACCTGGAATGAATTTTTGCCATTTCTGATCCACATTGTACTTCACACAGTGATTTCCTGAAGGAAATATAATAGTCTGTTCATCAAAGAAGAAGATATTGTTGGCCACGTGGGCTCGAAGACCAAAAACATGCAGCGACTGAGCTACCACGGTAGACATGGTCCAGGCAAACCTGCTATCAAAGAGCAAGAGCAGTGAAGGAATGCCCGCCCCTATCCTCCCGCCCCGCCCCAGAACACGCCCTCATAGCCCCGCCCCGCCTCTTAAGCCGCTACAGTCCCTTTCCCACCCCCAACCCCCTCCGCACTCCCTTCTTGCGTCTCCTTCTTCCCTTTTCTGTGCTCCCACGCAGCTTTCAGCTCTTCCGGACGACCCCAGGTACCCTTTCCCACTTTTCGTTTCTATTATCTGGGTCACCACACTACGCAGGTATCTAGAGTTACTACCTCTACGAATTCCAAGTAACTCAGACACTTCTAAGCAACTCGGACGCTTCCAAACGCCGGAGTGGTTCCTATAGCAACAACAAAGCGGAAGTAAGGGCCTGCGACCGGAAGCGGAAGTTCCAATCAGAAACTCTGACTGGGTCTTGGGGTTGCTGGTGCCGGCGCGTTAGGAGTCCACGTGGAGCAGCCCAGTAGAACTGCGGAGTTGAAAACAGACGGTAGGGGCGAGAGTCACTGTTTTTCAGTCGAGCAGACATCAGGGTACTCCTCTTACTCCTGTGGGTGTTTGGGCGTTCGTGCTGCAAGATGGACACACCCCCGGTCTCGGGTACAGACTCGGATTCTGATGATTCTCTTGTCACAGACCGAGAGGTAGGTGTCAGTCTAGATCGCGGGGCTGGGCACGGGAGAGCGGCTCTCACTTCCCTGGTTCTGACTGCCGATTGTATTCTGCAGTTGCAGGACGCGTTTTCCCGAGGGCTCCTGAAGCCAGGCCTCAATGTCGTGCTAGAGGGGCCGAAGAAGGCCGCTAACGACGTGGTGAGAGGGGTCACTGGATGAGGGGCTACCCCCAGATGGGGTGTGCACAAGGCACTGCTGTAGTTGGGAGACTGAGTACTTGCTCTATGGAAAGAACATGCCCTGCGCATTGCCTCGAGGATAAATTACATGCTAGGTGGTGAGGGGTTAGCATTTTGTTTTGCCGGTTGGCCTAGTGGTTGAGACTTGGGCTTGTGAGAGGCAATCTTTTTTCTAAGCCCCGTGTCTGGATTTCCTAGGCTGGCCTGAAGCAGTGTTTGGCTGAATTCAAGCGGGATCTGGAATGGGTTGAAAGACTTGATGTGACTCTGGGTCCAGTGCCAGAAGCCAGTGAACTTCAGTCAACTCTTCAGAACAAGGATCAGAAAGCTGTTGACGCAGAAGATGACTTCCAGCGGGAGATGAGCTTGTGTGTTTGCTTTCCAGTGTGGGAGAATTTGGGGGTGGGGTGGGGGGTGGAGGGGTCCCTGTGCTAGTGAGTGAGCATTTAGTTCTTGCAAGAAAAATTTACTTTTGAAAGATTCTTCTTAAGTGGATGTTATATGACTATGTAAGAATTGATCATTAATTTTCAGTGGTCATTCTTTTAAACTGCTTAGTTCTGTTTTCAGCAACAATCTCTCTTTTTAAAAACCATTTCCCCCAGATCCCAAAGTTATGAGGCATTGTTAGTTTTTCTTGTTTGCTTTTCCTTCCTGGTGGAGGTCAGGTGTTGAGAATCCCCTGATCATGTCACACTTTGTTTCAGCTACCGCCAGGCTCAAGCCGCAGTACTGGCAGTGCTACCCCGCCTCCATCAGCTCAAAGTCCCTACCAAGCGACCCACTGATTATTTTGCAGAGATGGCCAAGTCTGATCAGCAGATGCAGAAGGTAAGAGAGAGGGGAGTTTTTCTTTGGAAAACCAGGGGCTTCATACATAGTATATTTATCTGGTTTTATGTCCTATAATGAAGTCCTGGTGTGCTGTAGAATAATACACTGACAGCAAGGTCAGTTTGAACCTCAAGGTTGGTGGTTCAACGCCCCTC